TTACAATATAAGAGTCATGGATGAATTAGAACTACGATGGATAGCATATTCCTTATTTGGCGATGAGATCTTGGAAAAAGCTATGAATGACATCGCAACAACTCTCATCGGTAGTAATATTACTTAATAACCTAGTTAACAACCAAATATTCCTAGAGAAATTCACCGAAACTGCCGCAAGCAGAGAGAACGCCAACACGTGTGGCGCAATGTTTTCGCGAGCGCCGCCAACGGCGATCTAGAACCTTCGCGCTCTTTCTCTCTGCTCCTACTACGAACTCGCATGTTCGATCTTCCGCTTCCTATAACAATGCCACGCATGTCGGGCAATTTGCCATCTACTATATTGCAGGCGGGACAGGTGTCATTTGACGTGTTGTTAGACAGTAATTTGAATCTCGTAAGCTTTCTCTATCAGTTTTACCTATTAGTTCAGTCTCAACAAGCTTTTCAAGGTAAGCTGAAAGAGGATAGTGAACTTTTCAAGTAGGTTATTCCCTTCCAATTGTAGGCAGTATTTCCTCGTGAGTTCCAAAATTTTCAATTTCTTTGGTTTGTTGGGACTTCTTTTGAGGAATTGTTGACGCCTTTAAAAGAACATGTGTGCACATTTGTACAGAACTTTAATAATGACATTGTAGCTAATCGGAGGTTAAAATTGATCTTGCAGTAGTTTACAATTTTTGCAAACGTTACCCATACTGAAAGAACTCAAAGGATAAATCGAGTTGCCAAAGTGGTTGACATTTTCACGGAATTGCACTTCAAAGGGTTCGTTTGATGCACACCTACAAAGTTGTCTTATTTCTAGTTTACCCCTCTAGGTTGCTTAGGTAAATGGTTCCTTTCGAAGTTATACACTGCACTTATTGTTTATGAGAAAGAAATTTATTTTTGAAGCATAATCAAATCATGGCTGGTATGCTCTAACACTGCTAATAACCGAGCTATCACACTACACTTTTGAGTTATCTGAATTTCTCCACGAACCGTAGCTGCGGTGTCCTTATAGCAGTGATGATGTGGAGGATCTTCAAGGGAAAAGTTTGAGCGGAGTCAACATTTATAGAGAAGAGATAGGATATGCACTGACCGAGAATCACATTGGAGAAACAAGAAGATTTTCTCGACTGGCAAGCTTTGTACATCTAAAGAAGATTTCGAAAATTCACTTTTAAGGTAGTTGCAATGGATATAAATGCGGGGAGAGAATATCTTAAAATTAAGATCCATAAACGTTATTTCATTGGTCAGTATGCTTTCTGCCCTTTAGTACTTCTCAACTGTATATACTTCTGAGCTGCTTTTCCGGAAAACGTCACTGCGATCGTGCCAGGTCACACTAACGTGATGCGGTGCAGGATAAGGATTTCATTAACTTTATAGCTCGAGTATTAATTGCAGGCACTTGGAAGCCATCTGGTACTTTTTAATAGTGCAATGCCCAGTGCTGTCTTATATCCCATTTCACTTTGAGATCGTTCAAGTCACTCGTAATTTGAAATCAGTACATGGTTTGAAATTCATTGTAAACCTGAGATTATGATGTGGTTGCTTTTGTGAATTAACAGATATATGAAGCTCTTTATTTTTTCTTATGTTATGTCCATCCATACCCTTTGTTGCTTTTTTAATTTTCAAATGAAACACTAAACTCCAGTGCTTCTTTAATATAACCAAGTTAGAGTAGACCCAATTATTTATAAACGTATCGGGGGAAAATCGTGCAGCGACATAGATTGTTTAAGAGTGAGATGAAGCGTGGAATAATTTTTTGATGGGAACTAATCCAATATAATTAACTTCACCAATATAATAAACTTCAAATGTTCAGAACTCTTCTGAGTCGTATGCAATATTGAATTAACTCATGGAAACCCGAAATTGTGGGTAAGTGG